AAATGATCGTTTGAATGTATAAACGTGAAAGATCAGTCCAACCAAAATGTGAACTATACATCATTTAAAGGTAATTAAGATGAAAAGATGTCCGATATGAGAGATCTATCTAATGTGTTTAAAGAGCGTGTATATGGTAGACGTAATAATCATGTTAATGTCTTATAGAAATGTATAACGTTCAATGGTGCTTTGGTTTCGTGTGAAAATTTTTATTAAGAGAAATCTTCGGAATATTTCTATAAACGTAAACGTAAAAATGCAATAGAAATATGCGAAAAAAAGAAGTTCTTTTAAATTTCCTCTTCCCATCCTAAGAGTAACGTAGCAATATGGCCGTAGAGTGATACAATTTGTACGAATGGACCGAAACAAACAAGCAAAAAAAGGAGAAATCAACTTGCTTCAACGTACGTTTTTATAGAAATTGGCCCGAACACTGAAAAAAGTTTTATACGTATCAAACAAACGGTTTGGTATACTTTTTAAAAAGAGACAAAAAAAAAAGAAACACGAAATTTCTTCCCGAATGAAATGAAGAAGAGAAGAAAACTTAAGTGATACACGAAAATCAATTATGAAATCAAAGGACCATTATTCGCTAATTAAATGTTCATAAATGTACAATAACGTTAATCCGGTCGGTAAAAAAGAAGTTCGTGGCTTTTTTTCGCGAGAAGAGTCGATTTTCGAGAATTTTCGCCTCGTGCTCTTGATAAGTGTGTTTATGGATCCATGAATGAAAATTCGACCAATCTGTATGTCTATAACCAAGTATAATTGTACGCTATTCCGCGCATGTTTCATCTACTACGACTAAACGATGTCCTTCTATAAGTCAGATATATTCGCTTTATAACGATAAGCTTTTTGGTGCATATCGATAAGTTACATAGATGTACAATTTTTACAGACGACGACAAACAAACAAAAAATAATAACATATAAATATATATATTTTGACAGAAACTTCAGTGTGAAGTTCGAGGAGATCTTGAGGAACACCTTACCGAGACTGTTCGTTTATTGTACGAGCTGCGAGACAAACGCAAAAGACGTGTCTGCCAGCGGAACAAGCAGTTTCGTGGTTAAAAAAGAAAAAAAAAAAGTTCAACGTCGTGAATTAACCGAGTAAAAAGAATTCTAATATCTTCGTGATATTTTCTAATATAATGTACGACGCCGCGAGTTTAACTGTTTCGGATATCTTCGATCCCATTGTACGAAAATGTTTCTATACTTTTATGTTTCAAACACGTGGGATTAGAGAAAGAGGGAAAAAAGAATTTGAAGATAGAATTTTCTAATTTCGAAACGGTTAGTATTTGACCATAGATTTCCGTTCCCCTGTTTGCGATTTCACTGTAACTACGATAAGTTACATCCTTTGTCTAGAGTCCACCCTTAAAAAGAGAAAAAGAATTGCGATGAACTTGAAGGTAGAATTTGTTTTAATTTCGAAACGGTTAGTATTTGACCATAGATTTCTGTTCGCGATTTCACCGTATCTCCCTTGTATCTGTTGCTCCCCTTTGTCGTTGGACGAAACAACCCTTTTCACAGCCTATTAAAATAACAGCGTACAGTAACAGATGCATAGGTATGATTAGCACAGCTAGCTTTGTGTACTTCATTGTAAAACGTGTGGTTTAATAAACAACCGGACTATACGAATATACAAAACAAGTCAATCAAGTGAAAGAACATAATTACATAGAACTACACGGATTGTTTCTTATCGTCTCGACGTGCATTACGAAACGTAGCACGTTTTGTTTGTCTTGCGAAACGCAGCACGTTTGTCTTCATTCATAAAAAATATTATGTTTCATTTTTCTCTGCAAAATGTAGCACATTTTTAAGTACGAAAAATAGCATGTTTCGTCTGTCGCTGTCGCGAAAATTAACGAGTTCGAGTGATTTGCCACGAAAAGAAGCAGATTTGAATAGTTAGCTACGAAAAAGAGTATGTTTAGCATTTATTACATTGTAAAGATTTTATTTTATTTTTTTTGGACCATGTAAGTCAGATATCTGATTTGATCGTAATATACGTTATTCCCCCCTTAATTGACGCAGGTTCGGGTTCGCGTCGCGACTGTTATCGAGGGAGGGAGGCGTTTTGGGAATTACCGACTGTTATATCTTTTTGGTTCGCTGGCTTCTTGAGTGCATCAGAAACGAGAGTGAGAAACAGTTTCATATTTCACATTTATTACTTATTAAACAATATTTTAAAAGGTTGAATTTTTCCATGCAAAATGCATTTCACTAATTTTTATCTGACCGCAGTCCGAAACGTGTCAGTTTTCGCCGCGAAATTCAAAATATGCTATTCTTCGTGGCGGAACAGCCGTAATGCGTTAATTTTCGCGGCAGAAGACCAAACGTGCTAATATTCGTAAGAAACAATGAAACGTGCTACTTTACGTGGCAAACTGACATCTACAATGTGCTACTTCTTGTAACGCGTGTCGATCTGTACTGTATAATCTCTGCAGTCAATAATCACAGAAACATCGATTTCCAAAACTGTGTGTATTTTTATTAAACACGCACGTTTCAACATCGCAAACAATTCCGAAGCAGTTAGAGCAGTAATTGTTCCGTAAATGTTTCTCGAACGTCGATCGTTGGTTGGTACCGTTAATCGCTAGTCCGTGTAGAATTTATAATATACATATAATCACTTAAGGTAAAAAAAAAAATACAGAGATAAGCTGTTGTGATGTTTGTATGTTCGTTACGGTAGAGCGGTGAGATCAGATTCGTTTAGAAATGCATAGTGTACAGCTACATTATAATCGTCTGTAGTATCATTGAAATTTTTATCAGTTCGAACGATATGTATTTGGTAATTTATTGGAATACAGTTGGAATACAACGTGTATTTCAGTCGATTGCAACATATAGTCGGTGAAACCGATACAGTGAGGTCGTAAAATCAGTCAAGCGTCGAAGCACACGTAATTCGAGCGTCAAAGCAACTCGAGCCTCGCTCAGGAACGTTCCATGCCTTCTCGGAATTGCTTCTTTTATTATGGTATATTTCAAAAATCTGTCTGCGCCTTAAGGAATCCCCAGACCAACGTGAAATATTCGTAGCAGCAGCGAATATTTCGCGGTGATATATTCGCAGCAGTACAATAGTACGTGGCAGCTTATACGTGTGTTCACACCGCGCGAAAAATTTCCGCTGAACTGCGAAGTTGTAGCGATTTTTTTTCGCCGCGGATTTACTATTTCGCTCTTTAAGGTGTTTTCTTCACTGCCGTTCGAAAGTCGCGACGTGAAAGCAATGACAAACGTAGAAAATAAAGGCACCAAATTCTGTAGATCAGTTTCGTACTTCAGTGTGAACAAAGAGGTGAATTTCGTTGCCGCTGCGTCTGCGAATATTTCGCGATGGTCTGGGGGATTCCCTTAATCGTTGACAGCTGCAGGTTAATTTTTACCGATACAGGAATTAATATCGAAGAGAGATTTAATATCGTATATCTTAAATGACGAATTGTAAGTAGAAATTTTAAATACCGATTCACTTTAATTTACGACTTCACTGTATCGCTTCTACCGACTATACATCTTTAATGATAGTTCTTTTTTTTCGTTAAAATACATCGCATTCAAAGATGACGTGACGATGTATCGTGACGAAAAATCTGACTGTACAAATTATGTTTAGACGACGAACAGAATTGCTTCATATTTTATATTACGTTCGATACGAACAATGTAAGTACACAAACCCTCATCGCGAAAAGAAAAAAAAAACATCGGTGTCTTGACTGTTTCATGTCCAATTAAAGTTTTTGATGTTTTAATAACTGCTTCGTTAAAGAAACAGAATCTTAACATTGTCGCTGCTGATGCTTCATTCTTTAAAATTACTACTTTAATATTACTCTTTCCACTCTTTCTACGTAATTTTGAATAACCTGATCAAAATTATTTCAAAGAAAATTGTTTGATAATTCTTTTATCTTAGAAAAATATTAGTAACTTTTTATATTTCCATTATTGATATATTTCATTTCAATTATGTTGGATAAAGCAGTCCGTTGTTTGATGAGGTTATGAAAGCTTTAACGGTAGCGACTGCGTTAAAATTCTTTAAAGAAGAGGTAGAGAATAGACGACGAGGTATGTGTAATGTCGATGTAAGTAAAAGCATTAGTTTGGAATTCGTGTTACTAATTAACAGATGAACGTGCCATATGTTAGTAAGCAAGGAAAATGTTACAAGGAAACTGTGTGTTTTTGTAATCGCGTTCCTTAAACAGACTGGCCCCCATAGATAACATTAAAAAGTAACGCGTTTATGTATGAACTGATGTTTAATAGTACACGATTAGCAATTAGATATTATGCTAGATTAGTGAAAACGTAATGTATGCTAGATGTCTAGTGTTGTGCTAGTGTTTACATCCTCCCATTTACGCATTCTATGTTTCCTAACGAAAGATAGTAAGTAGTAGTTATATATACATGCTAGATTAGTTTTAAAAATTAGATCTTATTCCGTTGATTTGAACAGAATCTTATGCTGCGATGTATATTGAATGTACGATCTTAATTTCGTCTAATACATCTTTGTTACTGCTAATGAAACTTTACTTATTTATTTGTTGTTAAGCTTTGTTAATAAAATACTATAAAATTTTAAATCTCTACTTAACTTTCCACGCATCTACCGTACATTTATCCTTTATTCTATTTTATGCATTATTATTTACATCATTTGATTCGTTCTTTATTTTATATGAATACGTTTATGTAAAATTGTTTACAAAACATTTATTTTCTAGTTTCAAGAATAGATTTTATTGGTTAATAAATTTTATTTTGCATTCAAAATATTAATACGACATAATAGACCTGTACGAATGCAATAAAACATTAGTTTCTTTAAATAACCATATCGCAAAAATTAGTCCATCGAAAACGTTAACTGTCAATAGGCGGCACCACTAATAGCATGGAAGTTAGTAACAATCAAGATGGCTGCTACCAACTCGAATATACCCAGTGATAGTCCAACAAAGAAAGAGGACGAATTCAATGAATTTTATTCAGAAGTATGTAAATTCTAAAAGGCATCATATCATTAAAATATTTGTTCGCGTAAAATTCAGTTTTTAATACAATTTTTGATTACATAACTGTGAACGCCTATACCTTAACTTAAGGGTTAACAAACGTCACTGTGTATGCATTAAACAATAATAATAAATTGAATTTAAGACACAGTATATTACATACGTTTTTATTATTTGATAAGTGATACCTAACATTTCTTGAAACATTAAAAACGAGATTGTTCTTCTAGTAAAACTTCAAGTTATAAATAAGCCTAACCTGTACAAATGTGCCCGAGCCCCAAACAAATAGTTGTTTTTCGAACTGTAGGAAATTCTCTTTGTTTAGGTAAAAGAAATAGAGAAGAGGGATTCAGTATTAACACCCAAACAACAAATCGACAGATTACTTCGACCTGGATCGTCTTATTTTAATTTAAACCCTTTTGAAGTATTACAAATTGATCCATCCACCTCCATAGATGAAATCAAGAAAAAATACCGTCGTGTAAGTTAGAATTTTTTCCTTTTTAATGTAGCGTAGAAATTTGCGTGTAATGTGTATATATTGTTTTTATTTTACAGATGTCAATTTTGGTTCATCCTGATAAAAACCAGGATGATGCAGAACGTGCACAACAAGCATTTGAAAGTATGTATTAATTTTCATTGTGTAGGATTACTGGTTTTTAACATTATTTCGTCTTTTGTAGTTGTTAACAAAGCATGGAAAACATTGGAAAATGAAGAAACTAGAGCAAAATGCATGGATGTTATTGAAGAAGCTAAAGCTCGGACGGATCACATGGTATAAGCAATAAGGAGATAAGTCGTTTTTAGAAATATATTTAATAATCAAACATTTATCAGATTGCAGAAAAAAAGAAAAAATTGAAAAAAGAAGGAAAAACAGAAAGTGGAGCTGTACTTGAAGAAGAAACAGAAGAGGGTTACAGGCACGCAGTTTGGGTGATGACAATGAAACTCTTCGCTGATATGGAGAGAAGAAGGTTAATACTTCAAATAATAAGAATAGTTTACAAAATTAATTCGTGTACTTGCAAACTAGCAACTCTTATTCTGTTTTTTATACAGAAGAGAATTAGCCACCAGGGATGCAGAACAGCGTAAGAGAAAACGAGAAGAGGAATTATCTGCTGAAGCACAGGCTGCATTAGAACGTGAGTGGCAAAAAAATTTTGAGGAATCTCGACAATCAAGAGTTGATAGTTGGAAAGCTTTCCAATCTGGTGCCAGTGCTACAAAACAAAAGAAAGCGAAAAAGTTGAAAGCTTTCAGGCCTCCCAAAACGAAAGCTGAGTCGCGATAATTAAAGAATTGTTCCTGATGCCTGACATAGATTCTTTTGTTTGACACAACGTTTTATATTTCTTGCAAAAAGAAGATAGTTCAAATAGTGCGTCATTATGTGACCTCAAATTACGGAATGCATTGAAACTAATTGGAATTGTTTTCATTTAAAATTTATTTGTTAATTAAAAAATTGTGATTTGAAGCTAAGAACACATCAAAATCAGGTGTCAAAGTAGAGAATGAATTGTAAACAGAATGGTGAGTAAATTGAGCAGCAGAGTGTGAATAATTAATGTATGTATCTTTCAAGAATAATTTGTATGTTTGTTGAATGTTATGTATGTATGAGCGTACATAGTTGTGATACATTTACATGACCCGAATAAGTTACATTTTAACATAAAACCTCGATCTGATCAAATTATTTCAAAATCATAGGAATAATAATAATAATCTATATGTATAAAATCTAATGCAATCTACATTTATAGTACTCATTGTTGCATAACAAATGTCAATTTTATGATATACATGTATCTTATATTTTTATCTGAAATATATAATTAAGTGACACAATGCTTTAAGACAAAAGAACATTTAAACTACTTAATCTGTCAAATGAAACTTAAGTCAACAATTATTAGCTTTTCATATCTTTTTTAAAATGCTGTAAAGTATTCGCACATATCGAAGCAATAATCGTTAATTCAAGGAATACAGCGATATTCTAATATCACAATATTACTTGAAGTATAATATATAAAGACAAAGATAAAGTATAAAACTATGTTCTCCTATAGAACGCAACTATTTATATATTGCAAACAAAATTTGACACCGTCATGTACCTCTATCATACTTGCGTAAAGTATCACTATGTAACATTCTATCGCATAGTCGGTCTATTCTAGGACAAAATATTTCATCTGTATTTCATACATATGTAGTGCAGATGAAATTATACTGTCCTTCGTATTTTTTTTTTCCTTTGTTCCCCGTCTTCGATTATACAATAATAATTGGTTTTCTCTCTCAATCATACACTAGAAATATTTTAATCTACAAGTAAAATTGAACTCTTTTAACATATATTTCATTAGAAGTATATCAAATATATATGTGTATATTATTTTTGTTTGAATTTGACAAAGTGTATCTATCATAGTGATATGATTATTCTATTCTTTGAATTTCGCTGTCATCGAAATAGCTTAACGGGTCATGTAGTTATAATTTCCGATTTTCAGTAGGTAATTGCATAACGAATGTTGTATCTTGACGTACACTTGGTCCAATTGTAATTTGTAAGATTATTGTAAGGAGAAATATTTCTAAAACGTGAATTTTCTCATTGCAAGTCACATTGAATAGTCTTACTAACATATGAAAGTCAATGTTGTACAAGTGCCGATGAGAATGAACGGTGAGAAAGGATGTGTTCGTAAAAGATTAAATGGCGAGATCAAATTTTTATTAAAAATATTAAGCCGAATGAATGATTGTTATGTGAGATAAAATTTATTTTTAATTTTTCTGCTTTTTTTTTAAATATTGGATTTTTCCAAGATGCCATAAACTTCATCAATACCGATTTATACATCAACACAATATTAACAATCGATTTACCACCACTAGGTAATGCCAAATAATGCATTAAACAATACACATTCGAAAAATGCCTCGTTTTATCCAAAAACACATGTACAATACTGAGTAGTAGAAAAAAATACTTACTCGTGATTTTTATTTATATGTACAAAAATTTTATTATATCACATAACAAATGATATTATAAATATTCTATATTAGGAAGAATTATTTGAAAAATTAAGTTTCTCTGTGAACCAATTTCAATTTTTTATTCATCTTTAAGATTTAAATATTAAAAAAAAAATTACATACTGTGAATACATCATAGTATTATTTAGTACAATAAAAAATTCATTTTGTACAAATGCTAAATTATAAGTCGTCAATGATAATTCCGATTGTTCTTTATTTAGTTCAATCATTTGTTATTAATGTATTCGTCTTGTATATTATGACGTCCATGGGATATAAAATGTAAATATGATACATATCAAGTATTCATAATTTAATAACTCCACTCAGGGTGTATGAAAAACATGTTAACATTTATGTGACTGAATTAATTCAGTGTGAACTGAATTTATAAAAACTTTTTTGTCAAAATGAATTTAGACAAATATATTTCGAGAAATGTGATATGCGTATGCGAAATTACAAACACGTGAAATGCGAAAATTTCACGAAAATCAAACGATCCATACTTTATTTACTTGTTTGCGTAAATGTAAAAATTTTTTATGCACTCTACACTCGCAGCAATAAGACAGATCAAAATGATAAGAATCTAGAAGTTTTATATATAATCGTATTTTATATTTTACAACTCATTTATCAAACTGTATGTGTAATACAGTTTGCGTATTTTTTTTTAGTTTTGCATCATATCTCATTAAGAATGTCAAGTAAAAGGAAACAAGTTACCCATATTCGTGGGTATTACATAGTGTATTAATAATTTTCGAGAATAATGAAACTACAGGGACGAAATACAAAACACTCAGCTATACTTATTGTAAGTAACCTTAAACAATATCTTTCAATTTTATCAAAGTTGTGTTAATGGTATTAAACACGCTAATATTTACTCCTTGTCTTAACCTCTTTTACTCTTTGCATTGGCATGTCGAATGATGTTGGTGTTTTAATTTTTTTTCTCCATATATTATATGTACATGCTCGAATCTTGTACAGTACTCGAAATTTTTACGCAAAATTTTCTTTGTAACTTTTATTTGCTAAACAGCTTGCTGTTATAGTGTCTATCGAAGGTACTGCACTAGCAATGAGTTACGATCAAATGCATCTTACGTGACTGTACACTTCCATCCGGAGTGTGCACGTGAGTCGCATATAGAAATCTCTTAGCCAAAACTATATACATACATATACGTTATTTATTTATTTAACTTCTGAATATATCGTATTGTTCCTTTAGAATTATCATAAACATCAACATTTCACCTAATATTGTATATACGTTACAATTACTTGTATTCCGAATATTTTAAATTATTTCTACATTCAGTGCAAAATACAGATTCATAAAATTTTATATTTTTTAAATTTACTAAGGATAATAAACTTTTGTTATAAATCGTAATGCCTACTTTATACATCCATAGTCTTTACTCTTACTAAAAAAAGAAATTGTCGTTTACATTTCGGTAAAGATGAAGTTAAAAATTTCTCGATTTAAGAAATGTGTATTCTTTAACATATTATCTGCATTACAAAGTAAACGAGAAAGTCAATTCTTTAACACTGTTCGCTTATTGGAAATAGCCTAACTAATCCAAACAAGACATGTAGAAATATATGACGTTCGAAAAAAGTGTACTTTCTTCAAATATTAGCGTTTTCTATTTAAACGTTTATTGTAACCACTAAAATTTTATATCCTTTCGCAAAACACTATTATAAAGCCAATTAGGTTAACATAATTTCAAATATCTGAATACCGTAATTAAGGTTAGAATATTTTAATTTTATAAAAATCTCGTAACAGCTAAATTAATTTCAGTGATTTAATAATATTATTTGCGAACAAGAATATTGATATTCATCTTTGCATTTATAATTTGTGTATGTGCAAATGTATTATCCGAGGCGCATCTCGTACACAAGAGGTATAGTATTCCCGTCCTTTCAAATTTGCAGTTCGGTATCCAAGAAATTGGTTTCCCCCTGCACCAACAATTGCAACCGATCGATTTGCGGTTGAGGACCTCGAGAGTGAAATTCTAGTCGGAAGAACAATGACTCACAGTATGGTAATATAAGTGAATAAAGTGAAAATCAAGAAAAATGAGACAATATAAATCGATACTATTGATTGTAAAATACTGCGAAATCATTGAATTACTATTTTTATTTTTTACTTAAAATTTTTTAAATATACATATCAACTATTGTAATTTGATGAAATAATACAAAAAAACACGAACGTTTGCAAAAACCCAAACTAATTTATGATCATATATTTCCATTGGAAATGCGACACCACGGTGCAGTTATATAATTTTTATCCAGAAATATTTTGAAAACAATTATTGCAAGCTATAAACTGCGCAATAAATAAAACAATATAAAAGAAGCAACGCTCCAGGCATGGTGAAAGTAAAACGTAATCGCCATAAAGGAAATTATATCAACGTTTTCGTCGACATAACCAAATATATATTTATTTCACGTTCCACTTTTTAAACACATAAATGTGTCATGTCTGCATATTTCTGACATTACAAAAATAACGTAAAGCCTATCGATTTCGTATGCTGAGAATCGCAATGCCTTGCTCCAAAAATGCCGTATCCGAGTAGCAGATCTGCGTATATATGCATACAAGCAAGTTTTTACCGCTGATGTGTGCACACGTGGTGGAACATGTTCGTGCACGTTTCCACTCAAACCAGTCAGGATAAATATCGATGTATAACGATGGACACATGGATGGGAAGAAACCGTTCTTCTTTGTAGCGCCGCTCTCACACACTCTCCGAGAAAATGTTATTTCTGTGCATATAGCCAGGTAGAAGGACGTGTTCGTTCGACCGCTTCACGAATGGAATGTAAACGTCTCTAGTTGTATGAGTTAACCGTTGCATAGATAGAAACGAAGTGTCGGTGTGCGTTCCGAAGTGTGGTACAAGCAAATGGAAATGCATCTGAACGTATACAATCGCAAGAAAACTACACCGAAACGAAACTATAAACACCAGTGTAAAAAGTCTGCACGTTGATATCGATAGCGACGAAAAAGAAACAGCTACAGAAAAGCTACAGAAAGTGCTACGCACACGGCTATACACGCCTATACACAGTGTATCCCTGTTAAGATGTACACACGCAGGACAGTATGGAAATGAAAGGAACACCATTTACCTGAAGCGACGTGCGTACGCGAAAGGCACGTGTGTCCATTCTACACACAACATGGCCGCGTCAACGCGTATATATTTGTTTGTACACAACCGCGTGGAACTTGTTCACACACAACGTAGCGGCAGATAAATATCGATGTGTATGTAGACAGTGATGCGACATGGTCGCACACACAGCGAAGATGCCATGCCATACATAAGAGTACACGCGCAACCAAAAGATACCGGAGTATGGTGGTTAATGGTATCCCTGCAAAGATTCCGTGTATCGGTGTGTATATACGTGCGCGCAGGTAGAAGGAACGCGTTCGTCCGCGGGACAAACGAGTGTGCCTACGAACGACGGCGACCGATACGCACAGGTAGAAGAAAAATGATGGTGTGCGTGCGTGTGTACAGGTAGAAGGAAGAGAACAGCGGCAACAGAGGCAGAGGTGCGGCGTGACCGCTTCGCCGCGACACTACACGAGACTGCAGTGAGTCGGTCGCTGCCGTGCGTCGCTCTTCACTGCTTTTCGAACGAACTGTCGACAGCCGCGGATCTGACCGGCCGTGTGAATAGTGGAAATCCGTGCGTATTTGCAACCTGTTGCGCTACCGGCTCTACCAATCTTACATACATTGGTCCCGACACGCAGCACACACCACGGCACAGCATTAGCCTTGACGGGCGCCAGCCAACCTGGACACGTACTTAACTTGCACGGTTAGCCCGCGTTCACACGTGGATCGTACCGAGTGCGCGGCATCGCTAGGTGGATTCGAATCGAGGAAAGCATCCTCGACGTCGGATGAGCGGAGGAAAGTGGCGTCGATATGTGACCCGTGATCGAGTGTCAACAGTGTGCTGGCCAGCGGAGCACCATGTCGACGACGGACGTGTTTCGCATCGCGCAACAGGGACCGACTGCCGAAGAGGAACAAGGGTAACGTTTACCAGTGTTCTTTCTCATCGTTTAGAATTTAGCTATGTCGGTTCTTTGGTTTCGTGCGAAGAAAGGACTGTCTTCTATTAAGGATACTGTTAGAGGAATTTATGTGATTAACCGTGATCGTGAGTGTTTGTTCTGAAAGATCTGAAAGGAGTGTTTTTGTCGAGGTTTCAGTTACGCATTACTCGACTCGAGTGCGTTCGTAAAAGTAATCACTTCGAAGAGGAGATTGGTCAATTTGATCGGTACGAGGTATGGCTCAATAGGATGTTGAATCGTCGTGCTGGAATGTCATTTGGTAAGGTGTTTCTGTGTACGCGGTTTGATGAACGTTTAGATTTTCATTTGAAATTTATGCATCGTGCTCGTCGTGTATTTCTTATTCCTTTTACGTAGAATTATTGAATTCCACTACGAAATATCTTTACTTATTTACTTACCTTTATATCTCACAACCGTTTACGGTTTATCGGAATGATTTGCGTTATACTTTCTACGCTGCTCGAGGCAATAAACCTCGACAAATACGAGCCACCGGAGCGACTGTCGAATACTGAATCGTCGAGAGTAAGACATTCGCGTGAAACCTGTTTTACCATTATCCAGAACTTATATACCAACTAAGCAAATTAAAACTCGGTAAAATCTAATACTGTTTTAACGTTTAGAGTATGTCCAGTGATTACATGGGTGAATTAAGGGTAACAATTTTCACATCTAGAAAGGAACTATTTATTTTCTCTTTGATTTTCCTGTCTCGCAGAGACAGGATATATTTCACAATACAAGCAATAACGTGAATGAGAATGTTGACAATTTTTTTCGTAATAAACGTATACATTATACCCCTCACAATATTCCACAGAGTCGCAGGTGTAATTACATTTTTTACCAGCTGAATCTTTCTGGCGCCAGCAAGCGTATAATTAGATAATGTTTAAATAATGTGCGTATACCTTTTAATGTTACTCTACCATGTAATTTACCTGATGCTGTAGTTACTACTATAACCGCTCGCATGCTGCATTCCTTTATTTCTATTTTGCCTTACTTTTCGTGTCCAATTATTTCAACTTTCAATTTACTATCATTCAAATACAATAGACAACCACAAGGAATCAGTACAATTTCATTTGTCACACACAACTCGGGAAAGGAATTTATTTTAAAGAAATTGGGAAAATCCTGGTTTGTTTCGAACTAAGCTCACGATCAGCAATTCCACAAGTGGCTATCGGTGAATAGAAAATGCGAAAAGCCTCCATATAGAGGTAGCACCACGATATTAGTCACGTTTCTCGACGGTCTCTCTCCCTCCCTCTCTCTCAATGTCAATGACTGCTCCCTCAGGGCTAGCTGTGACCCCCCGTGCGAACGAGAGTCTCGTCTTTCTGTATGTCGTAGCATATAGCCAGAGTCGAGTGGAATGGCGCTTTCACACGGAGCCATAAGGAACTCGCGATATTTATATATACATATAGATGTCGTATCCCGACACTTTGGTCCAAGTTTTTAAATGCAGAAAGTATCTAGGTTCAAAAATAGTCTGTGAATGTATTTTTAATCGACGCTACTACTATCCGACGATTAATGTTATTTAATTTTAGCGCGGGAATTGCTGTCCGATTTGAATTCAACGAAACATTTTCTCAACGTTCTAACCTGTTTCATAAATTTGCGAATATTATTGAACAATTTATCAATCGCACGTTGATTGGTGAAACTGATAATTACAATGAACACTTGCTTCGAAGTGATTAATTTTCTTTTTATGATTTCCAAAGCTTTCGTCAAGAATTTCTCCGTAGCTGATCGACTTATAACTAGAAGACATTATCGGAACCAGTTCTGATACGATACGACTTTCACTAAAAATGATCTGTACCTAAATATCGATCCTTGGTTATTAAACTTTGAACGTCCATAGATAATCCCGAAAATCATTTCGCGCAAATTTATTGGAACACGTATAATTAATTGATCGAATTGTAATTCTCTAGTTCTTCGGGACGATCAAATTTGATCGATGATTTCCGTTACTTCTTACAGAGAAATTTACACGTGTAAGTACGAGTAAGCTCAAAGTAGTACACTTGGAAGAACAAACCTTAAACCTTAAGGTTGACTAACGGTACTTCCGGCATTCGTATGTATCTATAGTGTATACAGTGATTGCCGTTGCAGTTCTTATGACCTGTAGCATACATATATATTTACTTACCAAGATATAGGAAAATCTCCTCTTCTCTTTTCTCTCTTCTCTCTCGACACAATCATCGTAGAGAGCTACAACAGTTTTAACGTTTCTTTCATTCTTGTAAATATAATCAGCACTTCTGTGCATCTGTTACAGTCTCGTCGAATTTCATCTACTATTATACAGGGTGACACCGAAATAGTTAACCGAACTTTGGTACCGTTTGATATTCTGCTCTTTCTAAGGATGAGAAAAGGTTATACAAACATTAGCCTGGACCCCTCCTTTCCGAGATATAAATTTAAAGAAATTGCTGAAAATTATTTTCTTTTGCAACTGTACACGCTTCGCGTCGACGTTTCGCAGACTGCTGAGGACGTTCCGGGCTGAAATTTCGTACAGGCGTTAGTATAAACATTACTAACGCCTAGAAATTCAAACCCAAGAGAAAAAATTCTAACATCAGTTCCACATGCCCGTAATGGAGGCAAACTCTAGTTGTCGAATTTTGTCATATGAAACAATAATCCGGTTTTTCAGTGTTGCCAGACTATCGATAGTATTATTATCATAAGCTGAACTCTTAAGATGTCCCCATAAATAAAAATCGAAAGGAGTTAAGGAACGTGCTGGCCACGCAATTGGCCCTCCCCTGCCCGTAATTTTACGTGTGACAGCCATTCGTGTGAAATTTCGATGTAAAGAAAAAGTGTTTATATCTCGGAAAGGAAGAGTTTACGGACCTATGTTTATATGACATTTTTTCATCCTTGTGAAGAGTAGAATACGGTAGCAAAATTCGGTCATTTATTTCGGTGTCACCCGGTATATTGTATTTACAGGATAATATCGTATTGTACGATATTGAAACTCGACACGTGACTCCACTTTTTCACATTTTCAAATGTCCCCGTAAATAAAAACCCAAAGGAAAATGTGAAGGCGACTCACTCTATTGCGTTATTCACTTGTAACAGAAAAAATATGATAACAGTAAATTTTCAATAAAATTTCAATCTAAACGAAAAGTGTTTCTATCTCGGAAAGGAAGAGCTTCTGAATCTTCGTTTATACGATCCTTTTTCATCCTTAGAAAAAGTAGAACACGGTATCAAATGTTGGTCGCTTATTTTCATCTCACCCTGTATAACGATAAATCGGGTGTATCGAATACAGGTGCAAAACGCGTACCTCCGGTAGCCAGAGAAATTGTTCGCATACTAATTCCATTTTCGTTTATACTTCGAACTGGGATTCTAAGCTAGCGCGCCGGTTATAAAGCGCAAGTGAAATTGCCCGTGTAATGGACTAATTTTCATTTACATATCAGATAGAAGTATCAGGTATAGTGAACGCGAAGAATTTCGTTGCATCGGTGTACATATATACATATATATGAAATCATTGACGCGATACTTTCGTGTTTTATGAGGCAAACGCGAGCGGATGGTGAAGAATTGATCGAATAATAGGGGACACGATATGACTCCTCTCTCATTATACGTCTAATAATTCATTATATTAACAACCGGGGAGAGCTATTGTTCCTCGTTGCGTGAAGTTTAAATGACAGTGCGCAATCGCGGCTATAGTTTCGATGGTATATACACTCCAGTTCATAAGTATTAGGAGACTTATCGAAACTCGCTGAATTTTACTGAAATCTGGTGAAATCTACTAAAATCTTCTTACTGAATGTGAGAAGCAAATCTCAATGTCGTTACAAGTTTGATATAAAATTATTTGACACAGAAAAGTCGTTGCGAAATCTTTAAGATTGTGTTGTACTGAATATTTACCAAGGATAAAATAATATAGTTAAAACTAAGCAAACCTTTAAATAAATTATTTCGTCCTGAATTAAAATTAAATGAAAACAGATCAGCACTAACGTTTAACGCGTTTTGTCAAACGAGACAAAAAACAGCTTAAATAAAACGTCCATGTTTTATATCAAACACAACGTTTCACCTGTTAACTCAGACAGCGGGTACTGGGTCAAATGTGACCCATTGCTAAAATCCCAAGCGAAACCATGTTTCTCTCATTTTACTAGGCATTATTCTGTTAAAAATGTAAGAAAGGGAATTGTACTGCTTAAAATTATTCAAATATATTACGATTAAAACAACAAACATTGTTGTGACTCTGTTTCGAATGCCGGTCGAAACAAGAGACATCTAAAAGCCCTGGGTCAGCAGTGACCCGACATCCGCCGTCCGAACGTTAGCCCCTTAACATATGATTTTTTTTCTAACATGCATCTAAGCGTCAGCCATTTGCCGTTTCAGTATTGTGTCAGGTAACAAAAGCTAATCTGTTACAGGTTAATTACATTTAGGAATCCTTAGTTTTACAAATTCAAACGAAAGTTAGGATTACGATGAATTTTTCTTACTGATATAACTATTTTTCTCACATCTTCACCAGAATCTCTGCCACGAGTCTAACAGGTTGCTATAGGTTAAGGGGTTAATCCCTTAAAATCAGATCTTAACATATTAGCGTCGAATGACGCACATTCACTTGTGTACTTACGTCGTTGAGATTTTCAAAACGCTACAAATGGTTCAATTTCTCTTCAGACGTTTCACGAATGAAAACAACTGTATACGACTTGCGAAAAATATGAATTAATTAAAAAGTTACAGCAGTCTTTTCCAACGTAACCCGATCGAAAGAAAAGACGCAAAACGCCGCGAAATGTGTTAATTTCTATCAAACTAATTTCCATACACGTTCGCAGTAACGAACTTTACCCGAACATAATGGGTGTTCTGATACTTATGAACGACAG